ACTGCAGCAACTACCTGAAGGATGATGATCAGTTCGCTCTTCACTCTGGCTAAAAAAGTTCTTCTTCACTCCAATAGAACTTCAGCAACTACTTGAAGGTGTTTCCAATATTTGCTTTAGCATGATCAATTTTTTCAAAGCAAAGTCATACATCATCGATATCTATTCCAATAAAATAAAAACAGAAACAAAAAAAAAGATTTTTATCTTATGAATTCCTTATGAAATCCTTTCTGAACAGTGAAACCTAAAAAAAATTCTTCTCTAAACAGAAACGGTTTAGTTCGGAACTTTAGATTTGCTAAACAGAAAACTAAATTAAAGTTCAATAAATAGATCTCTGAACAAAAAGTAAAGGACCAAGCGGTCCAAGCTTGAAGTTCTCTGAACAGAAATCCTAGAGTCGTCTTTGTCTCGCCTCACCGTGAAGCAACCGAAGGGAAGAAATTACCTGGAGTCGGCTCACCGTTGCACTCGCGTGAGAGACGGCCGGACGCAATTGAATCGGCACTCGGCACTTGTTCGGTCGATGAGAGGACGACAGAGAGAGAACGACGGAGAGAAGGTCTTTGCGCGACTTTGTCTCAGGTCGGATGAGAGGACGACGAAGATCCGGCGGACTCGGCTGTCGGCACCTGTTCGGTCAACCGAGGGAGAAGAGGCCGCACGACGCGTCGCGTGTAGTTAGGGCGAAATGAATAGATGTGCGGCGGGCAGCGGGCTAGGGTTTTTTTTTATCATATAAGTTATAACATATTATATGATTTTTAATATTATAAATAATATAATCGAGTAGCTTGATAAGCTTTCGAGTCGAGTCGGGCTGAGCTCGAACTCGAGCTCGTTTATCATTCGAGCTCGATTATAGGCTCGAGCTCGAGCTCGAAGCTCGATAAGCTCGGCTCGCGAGCTCGTTAACGAGTCGAGTTCGAGCCGGCTCACGAGTCAGCTTGACTCGGTTACACCCCTACAAGAGAGAGATCGGAGATTGCTCTTGCCTCCTTGCTCCTTCTCGACCACTACATGACGTCATTGCTCTATCGGACCACCACTTGAGGCCCTTATCTCCGTCGGACCACCGCTTGAGGCCCTCACTTATGGCGGACCTCTAATTGAGGCCCTGAGCTCTGCCAGACCACCGCTTGAGGCCCTAAGTGTGACGCCCCAAGATCTAACTTGGCAAGAATTTCAAATAATCCATCAACAATTTACCAGAGCTATCTATAACTTCAATCAAACAGTCTAGCAAAAATCTATAACATTTAAAACATCAATGTACAAGTCAATTCATATCTCAAAAGATCATACACATTACTCAGGAGCTACACTATGAACTGAAATCTATCCAGTCCTGAGTACAAAACAATCGTTATAACCAAAAGAACAAAAACCTGGAGATTCCTGATCAACCTCAATCTCCTAATCCCTTGCCCTGACCTGAAGATATTAACCACATATAATGAGCTTCAAAAAGCCCAGCAGGTCACCTAATACCTACAACTGAAATCAAAGCACGGTACTGGAAGCAATATGCATGTCAGTCAATCAAATCCATAATAGTCTATTGCACATGATCAATGAATCTATGCAATTGCGGAAATCAAATCAGTAGTCAATGCAGCGGTAGAAGAATCAATAAACAGTAGGAAATCAGTCGATCAATCAAATCAATCGTATCAAATCGAATCAATCAAAACAATACTATCTGGTCAATTAAATCGATCAGAATGAAATCATAAAATCAATACAATAAAGCCCAATCTATACTAGCAATGAATCAAATGCAGCAGTTCAATACAGTGTAGAAGCAATAGTATCCATGAGATGAATCCATAGTATCCATAACCATAGCATCAATGAATCAATTACAGTATCCATATCCATACAGTATCTATAACAGTAGCAATGCACAGTGACAGAATATAAATATTAATGAAATCGTACGATAACAGTAAGTCCGTAAATCTGTCAGTAAATCCAAATCAATAAAGCAATAAATCCATCACGAGTCAATGCCGTACACATGCATTTCAATATAATAGTCTTACTGAACAAGTACGATCACTGGCTATCGATAATCCATAGTGCTATTGTAGAAATCCATAGTGCTGTTGTAGATATTCATACGTTGATTCAATAAGAGTCGTCACTCTGTGCCCGTCGGCATATTAATCTCCTTATGACTCCCAATCGTTATATCAATGATCAATAGTTTAAAGGAAAGCCCGTCGGCCCACCATCCTGTATAGGTCAAGTCAATCTCCAACCAACGGTTCAACCAGGTTCCACTTGTCTTTCAGTATTCAGTAATAAAATAATATAGCAAATCATATTCACATTCGTATGCATATCAATTCAAATCATCAATTTCAGAAAAATCGGAAATCATACGAAAAATCAGCGGCATAACGGCAGTATACAGAATTTACACAAAAATTCCTAAAAATCACAATTTACCAAATTAATACAGAACATTCACAACAACATTATAAGACTTCTATTCTATTGAAGCAACATCAATCAGCAACATGATATTTATCTATTCGATCAAAATCGCAATATATTCGATCAAAATCGCACAGAACCCAAAATAACCAGTAGAATCGTTACAGAAAATATTCAAAACATGTAGAAAAATCATAGCAATAACATATCAAAAGTTGTGCGGTGAAAGTTTCGTCAACACAAAACGGTGCGCGTTTTTCGGTAACGAAAACATAATTTTGTACACAAAACGACCAAAACTCAACATCTTCGAAAACAGAAATAGGATTCGGAGTCCTTACCACGAGATAAACACTTTTCCCAATAGCGGCGTCGGACGAAAAGCGCTCTGCGGCTACGGAAACCAGCTTTTCCTTTGCTTTCCTTCTCTTTCTCTCTCCTCAGATATTTTGATTTTATAAAATAAAATTTCTCTCTCCTCAAATCGAGCTGATTTCCTTATAAAATAAGTCTGATCGGCCCGACCGATCGCCACATCGTCCTAGACGATCTAAACAAAAATCCAATCGGCCTGGGATGATTTCTCAGGATGATAATTAATTTCTTGGACGATTTGCTCTCTGACTTGTGCCATGCTCTGATCGTCCCAGGACGATCCAAAATTGGCCTGGACGATCCACTTCCAGAAAATCAGTTGTTTCACTGCACTGATCGTCCTGGACGATCTCAATATCGTCCCGGACGATCCTGGGAGGAAAATCAGATCTTGGAAGGCAAATCAAAGGAACGAGCTCTCACACTAAGCTCCACCAGACTACCACTTGAGGCCCTCACCTCCGCTAGACCACCACTTAAGGCCCTCACCTATGTTGGACCACCACTTAAGGCCCTCACCTCTGCTGGACCACCACTTTAGGCTCTCACCTCCATCAGACCATCGCTTGAGGCCCTGAGCTTTGCTAGACCACCACTTGTGGCCCTCACCTCCGCCGGACCATCACTTGAGGCCATGAGCTCCGCCAAACCACCACCTAAGGCCTAGGCTTCTTCCTGACCACCATATGAGGCATTCACCTCCGCCGGAACACCACTTGAGGCCCTGATCTCTATCAGATCACCACCTGAGGCCCATACTTCTATATGACCACCACCTGAGGCCCGGAGTTCCGCCAAATCATCACTTAAGGCCTGAAGTTCTACCAAACCACCACATGAGGCCCATAGTTCTACTGGACCACCACTTGACGCCTAGAGTAAACCCAGAGTTCTGCCAGACCATCACTTGACGTCTGAAGTTCCGCCGAATCACCATCTAATGCCGAACTTTCACCAGACCACTGCCCGTTGCTGAAGTTCTGCCAAAACAACGCCAGACTACCAACTAACGCCCGAATTTTTAAGTAGCACCAGACTTCTGCCAGTCCATCAAGTGATGCTGTAATTTCATCGCCATTGGTCACTAGATTTCAATAAAACGGTTAACATTTGTAATCTGATCGCCCTCAGGGACGAATTAGCCCATTGTAATCTACCCAAACGCTAATGGAATCATTTCAGACTGGGCTATACCCTATGATTTTTCCCCTTTCTAGGGTTTTTCATGTAAAAACATCTTGTGTTATGTGTGTGTGAGATGAAGTTCTACCGGACTACCACAAGGCCCGAAGTTCTACCGGACCACCACATGAGGCCCATAGTTCTACTAGACCACCACTTGACACCTAGAGTAAACCTAGAGTTCTGCCAGACCATCACTTGACGCCCGGAGTTCCGCTGAACCACCATCTGATGCTGCATTTTCACCGGGCCACTGCCCGATGCTGAAGTTCTTCCAAACCAACGCCAGACTACCAACTAACGCCCGAATTTTCAAGTAGCACAAGACTTTTGCCAATCCACCAAGTGACGCTGTAATTTCATCCCCATTGGTCACTAGATTTCAACCAAAAGATTAACATTTGTAATCTGATCGCCCTCAGGGACGAATTAGCCCATTGTAATCTACCCAAACGCTAGTGGAATCATTTCAGACTGGGCTATGCCCTGTGATTTTCCCCCTTTCTAGGATTTTTCACTTAAAAACATCTTGTGTTCTGTGTGTGAGCTGAGTATTCGTACAACGCTAATACATAATTTTAACTCCATCGTCGCGTATATTCTAGCCCGCAACAATCATTAATTATGTTTTCTAACATCAAAATGTTGCAAGGCAATTTGCCTCATTTATGCACTATTGATATTTCATATAATATAGTTTAGATTATATTTAACTAATCTAACTAAGTAATTATAATTGTTTATTTGATTTCATATATATTTTTTAAAAATATAATCATCCAATTGGCTAAAAATAAATAAATATTAAGTATGAGCAGTTAGTGATAAACATATTTTATTTCGTTGATGCAACAGATCCATCACTTAATTTTCACAGCTTATTTCGGAAGGACAAAGGAGCTTTGAACGAAGTCTGTCAGTAGATGGACGGCTGGATGCAGATTTAGATGTGAACCATCATATCCTTCACGCCCCTTTCCCGTCTTCCCAATTTATCGTCTATTTTTATTGCTCTCGCTCGCTCGCTCGCTCGCTCTCCCAGTCTCCCTCTCCCTCTCCCTCTCTCTCTCTTCTACCTTCTCCTGGACCTCCTCCCGGCATCAAACGAGCTCGATTCGCGTCTCCTTCGCTCCATGACACAGTAGTTGAGAGAACTCGAAGGAGGGAGATTCAGTGGCGGCCGCAGAGGGAGATTTTCAGGCTTGATTCATCCATTATTAGAAGATGAAGCCCGCGCCCTCCTCCGAGTTGACATCGTCTTCGGTTTCCTCGTCCTCTGCTGTGCCGGATGTTCAGCAAGCGGAGGCCTGGGAAGTAGGGGAGACACGTCAGGCCGCGGCAGGTGCGGCAGCGGATGAAGCGGCTACGGTATCGCCGGCAGCTGCGGCTGCTCCGGCGATGGCGGGTAGGGAGAGCGGTGGTCAGGAGTCTGTGTGGGTGGAGAGACGTGGGGAGCACTCGGCGCTGTGTCGGTGGTCGGTGGCGCAGTTTCCTCGTGCAAAGGCCCGCGCGCTCTGGAGCCGCTACTTTGAGGTTGGGGGCTACGACTGCCGCCTTCTAATCTACCCAAAGGGCGATTCCCAGGCCCTACCGGGCTACTTCTCTGTATACCTTCAGATCGTCGACCCACGGGGCTCCTCCTCCTCGAAGTGGGACTGCTTCGCCAGTTACCGACTCTCGCTCGTCAACCTCCTAGACGATTCCAAATCCATCACTAGGGACTCGTGGCATCGGTTCTCCTCCAAAAAGAAGTCCCATGGCTGGTGCGACTTCACTCCCTCATCCGCGATACTCGACCCCCGCGCGGGGTTCCTGTCTCCCCCATCTGACTCTCTTCTCATCACCGCCGACATCCTACTCCTCCATGAGTCCGTCTCGTTCTCCCGAGACAGTGCCGCTTCCGCATCCCTTGAGTCCCCTTCCTCCTCTCCTTCCTCCTCGGCGGATGTACTCAGCGGCAAATTCACCTGGAAAGTTCACAACTTCGGCCTCTTCCGTGACATGATAAAGACACAGAAGATCATGAGCCCCGTCTTTCCTGTCGGTGACTGCAACCTCAGAATCAGCGTGTACCAGAGCTCTGTATCCGGTGTAGACCACCTCTCCATGTGTTTGGAGAGCAAGGACACCGATAAGACCCTCCTCCCTGACCGCAGTTGCTGGTGCCTCTTCCGCATGTCCGTGTTGAGCCAACGGACCGCTGGAACCAACCATGTCCACCGCGACTCTTACGGCCGCTTCGCAGCTGATAGTAAGGGCGGTGACAATACCAGCCTTGGCTGGAACGATTTCATGAGAATGCCTGAATTCTTGGAGCATGAGGCTGGTTACCTTGTTGATGACACGGCTTTGTTCAGCACTTCCTTCCATGTTATCAAGGAGTCGAGTAGCTTCTCTAAGCACCCGGGACTGATGCTTGGAGGAAGGGTCACTGCAAGGAAGTCAGATGGCCACTTTGGCAAGTTCACGTGGAGGATTGAGAATTTCACTCGGTTGAAGGACCTACTGAAGAAGAGGAAGATCACTGGACTATGTGTGAAGAGCAGGAGGTTCCAAATTGGCAACCGGGACTGTCGCCTCATAGTTTATCCCAGGGGTAAAGCTTTCAACTTCACATGTTTCTTCATCTCAATTATTGTAGCATTTTTTTCTCAGTGTAGTTAAATAAGGGATCCTCTGTAAATTTTAGTGATTGCATTATAGAATTTACTTATGCTTATCGTGAATTAGCAATTGATAATATCTTTAGTACCTTTATTGGCATAATTAATACAATGTTGGTTGTCCTACAGTGTTTTCCAATATTAAGTAAAATTGACAAGTATAAAACCCTTTCTTCATTCTTTTCTTGCTGTTAGATTTGCTAATGAAACCTAGTAAAGATGCTAATGATGTAAAGTTACTTTGTTAGAACAGTGTCATAATTGAGTTGTCTGTTTTTTTTAATGATATGATCCAGGTCAATCACAACCACCATGCCACCTATCAGTTTTCCTTGAGGTCACTGACTCTCGAAACACAACCAGTGATTGGAGTTGCTTTGTGAGTCACCGGCTTTCAGTTGTAAATCAGAAGATGGAGGAGAAATCATTGACCAAGGAATCTCAAAATCGTTATTCCAAGGCAGCAAAGGATTGGGGCTGGCGTGAATTTATTACCTTAACTAGTCTTTTTGATCTGGAGTCTGGTTTTCTTATTCAGGACACCGTTGTGTTCTCAGCTGAGGTTCTTATATTGAAGGAAACTTCGATTATGCAAGAATTCTGTGATGCTGAGTCGTTTTCGTCGGGTAATTCAGGAATGAATTCTTGTTCTCAAATTGATGCTATTACTAAAAGGGGTGCATTCACCTGGAGGGTCGAGAACTTCCTATCCTTCAAGGAAATAATGGAAACTCGGAAGATCTTCAGCAAATTCTTTCAAGCAGGTGGCTGTGAGCTGAGAATAGGTTGGTTGATTTCTATCCAGTCAGTAATATGCGAGCTTACTACGCAATTACCCTTCTGAAGATCTTTTTAAAAATTCTTTACAGGTGTTTATGAATCATTTGATACAATATGCATATATTTGGAGAGTGATCAATCAGCTGGTAGTGATCCTGATAAAAATTATTGGGTTCAGTATAGAATGGCTGTGGTTAACCAGAAGAACCCTGCAAAAACTGTGTGGAAAGAATCTTCTATATGTACTAAAACATGGAATAATTCGGTCCTCCAGTTTATGAAGGTGTCGGATATGCTGGAATCTGATGCAGGCTTTCTTTTGCGTGACACGGTGGTATTCGTCTGTGAAATCACAGATTTCTGCCCTTGGTTTGAGTTTTCTGATCTAGAGGTGAAACTGATGGCAGACTTTTTTCTTGGTTAAATTTGATCACTGTCATGTCTCCATGTTTCTTTTTTTATTGAAGAATAGTTTATCATTGAATGCATTAGATTTATCAAATCTTATAGCTTTGCTGATCTGGTTTAGCTGGAATTGCATTTATTTTTTGTAAACATTTGTGGTATCAAAGATAAGAAGCAGCTTCTCTGTAGGTATAAAATAAATTTTTTTTAATTAGGTCATTGTCTAGTTGTTTGTTATGGATATTTATATTGGAGATAGTTGAATGAGATTATAGTTCTGTATTCCCATTGCTTTAGATTCTTTAATGCTTTTGCTTAGGTGGATATCGCATCTTAAGTTCTCTAACTGATTATTTTGGATTCTATCATTCTCATTAAAGCTGCTAATCCCATTCTTCCCCTTGTGAACTGCAAGAAATTTAGCTTTAGGTGCCTTCTTTGAACCTACGTGTACTCCTTCAAACCCCCCTCCATGCTTGCTCCATTTCTTTTTCTAAGCTTTGACCAACACCCCCTCCCACTGCAAGTCTCATTTCTCCTGTGATAAATACCCCATGTAATGACTTATGTAGTTATTGTTGAATGAGTAAAAAATTCATTTAGCTGAAACTTCTCTTTGTGTTCTTCCACCTTCATGTGAGGAATACTTGAGAGTTTGAGTGTGTTCTCTTGAAGGACTTCCAATGAAGGGAACAACATTCATGATGAAGGGTTTCTCATGGAGGTTATCTTTAGTATCACCTTTAAGCATTTTTGTTGGTAAGTCTCCATAATAATTTACTTTAATATTCCCATCATTTTTTCTTTAATTTTGTGTTTCTTCTCCTTCATTAATTTGTCATTTTTTATTTCATAAAATACACAAAAATAGAATTTTCATTGAGATTACATCTCGACGTCTATCTTCAACTAGTAATTAATTATAGCGAATTGAAAGGAATATTGCTTATTTACATTTAAGCATTTTGTAACGTGGTTTTTGTTTCATCATATATCATATTTGATAGCAAAGCAGTTGATTCTTGCTTTTGTTGCCACAAAAAGGGTTTAGTTTGCTCTAGTTTGTTTTCTACATTTGCATTTCATGCATTAGAAGTACTTGCAAAGGATATTGTTGTTCTTATTATTGGATCAGTGTTTTTATAGCGATCTCCATAGACTAACATTGATTAAGTTCATTACAAATCCAATTGCAACTTTCACTGGTTCCTTAATCTTAGTATCCATTACCACTTTATCAGTTCCTAGCAAAACAAAAGCCTATGACAAACTTTTCTCTTTTACTTCGCCAATTGGACTTTGTGATGCTGCACCAATCTTCCATGGATATGAATTGCATGGTTTCCGTTTAGGCCTTGGGAGGAGGAATGTCTATGTCATGAGGATGTCCAAGTGACATGCTTCTAGACCCTTTCTCCAACTGAATTTCATTCTTTGAATCTTTCGGCTTAATCAATTCAATGCCAACTTTGTCCTTTGAGAACTCTGTAGTAGCTGCCTCTTGTGTCTCAGCCTCAACATTTCCATCTTCCGAAATACCCATACTAGTAGAAACAAAGGTTCTTCTACTTGTTTTCTTTCATTCTGAGATGTTGACTTGGTTTCAATGTCTTTCCCATCTTCATTTTTAGATTCTAAAAACATAGGTTCTTGAGATGTGGATGTCTCGGTAGAATCACTTTGCACAAGACTTAGGTTTTGATCAGTACCATTAGCTTGGCTTTGCAAGTTTATTTCTTTATCATCTTCATTCACATCTTTCTCTTTGTCTATCAGTTTATCCTTGGAAGGACCTTGTGTATCATTTATTGAACTCTCTCTCTTCTTCCCCTCAATCATTCACATTTTCAACTTTTTCACCATAGGATCCCCACCGCCCCAATAGTTTTTCCTCCTCCATTGTAGTGGTTGTCATGATCCCTCCATATTTACCCCATGTATCTAGGATGAGAATCCGACCTTTCTTCCACCCTCCTTGCATGACTTGGTCCCCATGGCTCAGCTCGACCCCTTCCATCTTCAGTCGCACACTCCCCTTGCCCGAAATGCCTCCTATAGTGATCAGCCACCTCACCATCTCCACCACAAAATCCCCTCCTTGTTGTCCCCCCTTTTGAAAACCCTGATCCGCCCCTTATCGAAGCTCTAGGAAGTGGCTCTTGATAAAAAAAACTCTCCTTGTCGAACTCCTTTCGTCCGATCTCCTTTCCCATAGATTCGACCAAGGGAATCCCGGTCAAATTTTAGTTAGGGCGGAACCGCTGGTGGAGTTTTGGATTGCATCTCCATGATCTTCCTCATCATCTCCTCCAAATCTGCTCTTCATTCGATTGTCCATGGTTGAAAACCTTCCTTTGATGGTTGAGAACTTCTCCTCCAACCGAGATTTGATTTTCTCCAATTTTTCTTTCAATGCATCCACCTTCTTTGCTGCCATCTCTCCAAAACTTCGCTCTGATACTAATTTGATGCATCTTGCAAGTAAAAATAGCAAATAGAGAAGTAAAAAAAAATGCAGGAATCAAATATTAGGAATGATTTTTGGATTATCTCTTCAACAATAATGAAAGATATAAGTGATCTACCATTCCAGAGATAGAACAACTCTCCCACAAACCCTAGATGCCGCTAAGAAACTCACAACAAACCCTAGAATAAACTTCAGCAAAACATAAGTTCCGAACCTTGATCAAACTCTCCCTTAAATAGCCCTAACACACAATTAAAACATTCATAATCAGCATAAACACAATTTGGAAACTTTCCTAAACAATTAAACTCTTCATAAATAGCATAAACACAATTAGGAAAACTTTTTAAACAATTAAACCCTTCCTAAACAATGTAGACCCAATTAGAAAACTTTCCTAAACAACTCTACCTCGATTAGCAAGCTCCCTTTGATCAATAACCTTTCTCATGGAGGTTATCTTTAGTATCACCTTTAAGCATTTTTGTTGGTAAGTCTCCATAATAATTTACTTTAGTATTCCCATCATTTTTTCTTTAATTTTGTGTTTCTTCTCCTTCTTTAATTTGTCATCTTTTATTTCATAAAATACACAAAAATAGAATTTTCATTGAGATTACATCTCGACGTCTATCTTCAACTAGTAATTAATTATAGCGAATTGAAAGGAATATTGCTTATTTACATTTAAGCATTTGTAACGTGGTTTTTGTTTCATCATATATCATATTTGATATCAAAGCAGTTGATTCTTGCTTTTGTTGCCACAAAAAGGGTTTAGTTTGCTCTAGTTTGTTTTCTACATTTGCATTTCATGCATTAGAAGTACTTGCAATGGATATTGTTGTTCTTATTATTGGATCAGTGTTTTTATAGCGATCTCCATAGACTGACATTGATTAAGTTTATTACAAATCCAATTGCAACTTTCACTGGTTCTTTAATCTTAGTATCCATTACCACTTTATCAGTTCCTAGCAAAACAAAAGCCTGTGACAAACTTTTCTCTTTTACTTCGCTAATTAGACTTTGTGATGCTGCACCAATCTTCCGTGGATATGAATTGCATGGTTTCCGTTTAGGCCTTGGGAGGAGGAATGTCTATGTCATGAGGATGTCCAAGTGACATGCTTCCAGACCCTTTCTCTAACTGAATTTCATTCTTTGAATCTTTCGGCTTAATCAATTCAATGTCAACTTTGTCCTATGAAAATTATGTATTAGCTGCCTCTTGTGTCTCAGCCTCAACATTTCCATCTTCCAAAATACCCATACTAGTAGAAACAAAGGTGCTTCTACTAGTTTTCTTTCATTTTTAGATGTTGACTTGGTTTCAATGTCTTTCCCATCTTTATTTTTAGATTCTAAAAACATAGGTTCTTGAGATGTGGATGTCTCGGTAGAATCACTTTGCACAAGACTTAGGTTTTGATCAGTACCATTAGCTTGGCTTTGCAAGTTTATTTTTTTATCCTCTTCATTCACATCTTTCTCCTTGTCTATCAGTTTATCCTTGGAAGGACCTTGTGTATCACTTATTAAACTCTCTCTCTTCTTCCCCTCAATCATTCGCATTTTCAACTTTTTCACCATAGGATCCCCACCCCCCCCAAAAGCTTTTTCCTCCTCCATTGTAGTGGTTGTCATGATCCCTCCATATTTACCCCATGTATCTAGGGTGGGAATCCGACCTTTCTTCCACCCTTCTTGCATGACTTGGTCCCCATGGCTCAGCTCGACCCCTTCCATCTTCGGTGGCACACTCCCCTTGTCCGAAATGCCTCCTATAGTGATCATCCACCTAACCACCTCCACCACAAAATTCCCTCCTTGTTGTCCCCCCTTTCGAAAACCCTGATCCGCCCTTTATCGAAGCCCTAGGAGGTGGCTCTTGATAAAAAAAACTCTCCTTGTCGAACTCCTTTTGTCCGATCTACTTTCCCATAGATTCGACCAAGGGAATCCCGGTCAAATTTTAGTTAGGGTGGAACCGCTGGTGGAGTTTTGGATTGCATCTCCATGATCTTCCTTTTCATCTCCTCCAAATCTGCTCTTCATTTGATTGTCCATGGTTGAAAACCTTCCTTCGATGGTGTTGAGAACTTCTCCTCCAATCGAGATTTGATTTTCTCCAAGTTTCCTTTCAACGTATCCACCTTCTTTGCTGTCATCTCTCCAAAACTTCGCTCTGATACTAATTTGATGCATCTTGCAAGTAAAAATAGCAAATAGAAAAGTTTTTTAAAAAATGCAAGAATCAAATATTAGGAATGATTTTTGGATTATCTCTTCAACAATAATGAAAGATATAAGTGATCTACCATTTCAAAGATAGAACAACTCTCCCACAAACCCTAGATGCCGTTAGCAAACATAAGTTCCGAATCTTGACCAAACTCCCCCTTAAATAGCCCTAACACAATTAAAACATTCATAATCAGCATAAACACAATTTGGAAACTTTCCTGAACAATTAAATATTTCATAAATGGCATAAACACAATCAGGAAAACTTCTTAAACAATTAAACCCTTCCTAAACAATGTAAACCCAATTAGAAAACCTTCCTAAACAACTCTACCTAGGTTAGGAAGCTCCCTTTGATCAAGTACTTTTCTAAGCACACAACCCCCCCCCCCCCCCCAATGACCTCCTTATTGTCACCATCACACCAGCATCTTGACTATCATGTAGCCTTATCCCTCCCTAGCATATCAATGACCTCCTTATTGTCACCATCACACCAGCATCTTGACTATCATGTAGCCTTATCCCTACTTTTTCTGTCAGTGCTACTTTTCTGCTAGGTGTTTGTTCTTGAATCTTGATTGATGATATAACTTTTAAAGAAGCCTATTATCATGTTAAATTTTTCTCCTATGCTTTTTCGTGCCATGTTCTTTACATGTTCTCTTTTATGAAGTCTAGTATTATCCTGATAAAAAATCTTTTTTATTTTTGTTTAGCTTTATTTTATCCACAGACGTACTCCTCAATTATGTTTGTCGTTGATTGCATAAAATTAGTTCTTTCAATTCAAACCTGCCCAGACGATGCCAACATCCTAAAGTTTACTTAATCCATTTACTCACATTTATTGGACTGACTTTTACATGACTGATAGTTCAATTCATGTTTCTGCAAGGAAAAAATACTGATCGTTCATCTGCTGCACGCTTAGATATCCCTTTTTGCCATGCATGATCATACTCAGGTAACTTACTGAATTATTTCTCATTGTCAGGTTTTGGCTTCTGAGGATGATCAGGATGCCTTGTCAACTGACCCTGACGAACTAATAGAGTCTGAAGATAGTGAAGGCATTAGTGTTGACGAAGATGACTTGTTTAGAAATTTTCTCACCCAAGCTGGTTTTCATCTCTCTTATGGAGTTAACCCATCACAGCCTCAGGTTACGTTAAGAGAAAAGCTTCTAATGGATGCAGGTGCAATTGCTGGATTTCTTACGGGCTTGCGCATTTATCTTGATGATCCTGCTAAAATAAAGCGCATGCTTCTTCCCACTAAACTATCTGGAAGTTATGGTAACAAGAAAGATGCTGAGGCGGGTGAAGCTGATACTCCAAGTTTAATGAATCTGTTGATGGGGGTTAAAGTCTTACAACAAGCTATCATTGATTTACTCCTAGATATAATGGTTGAATGCTGCCAACCCTCAGAAGTAAGAAATGATCTTGATTCTGAAGCTATTACAAATCTAGGTTCGGATTCTAATGGAGCGTTTTCTCCTATGGAGATCTCTGGGGAAAGTGAAGCAACAGAGGATTCACAGTGTCATTTGTATAGAACAATAGGATCTGCAGCTGATGAATTTGATCATTCTCATGCAGTTCAGAGTTCAGACTTGCATATGATTGGGATGTCTGACAAAAATAGCCCTGAGCAGATTGTATTTCCTCCAGAAACGGCTGCTGGTGACCTTCCTCCTGACCTTCCTCCTGATGATAACTTTCTTCGAGTTCCCAAGGTGGGTACTTTTCCCCTAATCAGTGCACTTGTATTATTTGCTAACATTTACTATTTGATTGAATAAAATCTTTGTCCAGACAAATTGGCTTGAACAATCTGAGGAGCTTTTAGGATTGATCGTCAATTCATTAAGAGCGCTTGACAATCCTGCACCTCAAGGACGCCTTGAACCGAGGAGGCATCCTCAATCAGTGCAGAAGATTGCGATTGTGCTGGATAAAGCTCCTAAGCATCTTCTGCAAGATTTGGTTGCTCTTGTGCCTAAGTTGGTGGATTATTCAGAGCATTCACTCGCTGCTTATGCACTTCTAGATTTTCTTCAGAAGCCAGATGCTGAGCCTTTGCTACGGGTCCCGGTATGAAGATCAGTCAAATTAAATAGTCAACGTTTTAACAAGTCTTGTTTAGTTTCATGTATATTTCTCCAACCATGTCCATTTTTTTAGGAATCCTGCTAAAATCTGATGCATTTTAATCTCTTTTTACCTAGGTTTTTGGTGTTCTGTGTCAACTGGATTTATGCCCTGATGTTTGGGAAAATGTATTATTTCAAGCTATTGAGATTCTACCAGATTCGCATGATGAATCCCTTGTGGAAGTGATTTCCTTTGTATTCAAAGCTGCAGCTCTGTGCCAGCATTTTCCTCAAGCTGTGCGTAATAATGCTTACTAAATTTCTCAGTTTATGTACACTGTTAACAACATTTTAGTAAAATCCTTTTCAAAAAGGTTGATTACTATTTTCCTATTTGTCTTTAGGTCAGAGCTGTACGTTCTAGGCTGAAAAGTCTTGGTGCTGATGTTGCATCCTGCGTACTGGATATTTTAACGAAATCTTTACATACTTGGACTAATATAGCTGCACTGTTTTTAAGTGAAATTGACTCTGATTCTGAGCCTGATGGAAGCTGCCTGGCCTCAAATTGTGGATATCTTTCCTGTGCTGTTAACGGACTTCCTCCAGAACCTACAGATGAAAGGCAGGACCATATCATGCATGGGTGCCTACATGCCTGTGATGTGTACATATTGGTTGAGATCCTATCTGTCCCTGGTCTATTTGCTGAAACTTCAGAGATTTTCGAAAGAGCTTTGCTTAAAGGGACCATTGGACTGCAATCGGTGGCCATGGTTTTAGAAAAACGTCATTCTCAGAAGTTAGATGTTAGGCCTAGTCTTGCTGCTGATGACCCACATGAAAAAGAAGTTCTGGAAGATGGAAATGACGAGCAGTTTTCCATCCCAGAGGATGATTTTGCTTCAATGCTTTCACTTGGAGGAGTATTATCTGTGTCCCAACATCCCAGAGTTCAGGATTTTGTGAGGATGCTATATGCTATAATGTTTAAAATATACTCTGAAGAGCACTATAGACTTCGGATGTTGAAAGGGCTTGTAGATCGTGCCATTAATAATACTTCTGAGAGCTGCCAAGGATTTGATATTGATATGGATGTGTTGGTATTTCTTGTTAGGGAGGAAGAAGGGATTGCTAGACCTGTTCTTAACATGATGCGAGAGGTTGCTCAGCTTGCGCAGGTTGATCGTGCATCTCTTTGGCACCAGTTATGTGCCACTGAGGATGAGCTTATTCGTGCACGAGAAGAATGGAAACTTGAACATGATAAATTGACTAGGGAAAATGACGATTTGATTCATAGGTTGAAAGAGTCAGAGGCAAATAATTCCAGCCTTAAGGTAAAATATACATGTATGAGCTGCTCGTAATGCTATTTAATCAGTTCTGGATTACTTTAGCGTGAGCTTTAAATGGGAATTTCTGACTGAATGACAGATTGAAATGAAAGGTGAATTAGATCGCTTTGTTTGCAAAAAGAAAGAACTCTCTGAACAGATAATTGATGTTGAAAATCAACTTGAATGGATCAGATCAGAAAAAGAAGAGGAAATAAAAAGGTTCTCTGCTGAGCGGAGAGTCCTTCAGGACCGCCTTCATGAAGCAGAGACACAACTTTTACAGTTGAAATCTAGGAAACGAGATGAACTGAAGGTAATGGATTTTCTTTTCCATGATAACTGTCTTTCTTTAGTTAATTTTCTTGAGGTGTTGGAAAAATGAAAATGAAATTTCTTTAAGCTATGTTAACTGGGATAGTTTATCTATTGTTTATGGTGGTTTTGTAGAAGATTATTTTGATTTGAATGCTACAAATTTACGAAGCATGGTCACTTTAGGAAGGTCATGCCTATGCAAGAAATTTTGTACTTAAAGGTTATCTTGTATGCTGCATTTGGTGCATGCAACTTACAATTTGAAAGCAATTACTTGATGCAATTTTGGATATCCTAACTAGTATCTGGCTTGGAATTTTTCTTTAGGATAGTTGCATACAATTCAGATAGGTAGATTGAATATATATATATATATATATTCTCTCGCCCTCATTCTCTTATGATGGGACACTTCTACAAAATATTTGAGCAATTCTAAAATATTTTGTGGTGAAGCCCAGGGCCCCACTCTGCCTCTTTCATGCGTCCGCATAAATTTCTGCCCTAGGGGAGCCGTGGGTCTCTCACTGTGCACCAATCGTACTATAATTGTTTGAGCACACTGATTGAGGAGCTTAGCCATTGGATGTTGTCTTTCTTAACCATTAGATTACAATCCATGCATTCCTCTCCTTTCATCTAACTATTGGTCCTCTTTTTGTATCATTTATTTATTTTGTGTGAATTGCATCTACCATTTTTCTATATATATTGTCCTAGAGGAGCATATAACTACATCTAATTTGTGTATAGAAAGTAAGCAATAAAATTTAAAGTAGTTTTTCATATCTTTATTTTTTTTACATGATATTAAAGCGGGTTTAGGTTTCCTTCTTCTAAGATTTGTTCTCTTTTTCTTGTTTTTTCTTGTCATGATTCTTCCTTCTCTTTATTATGTTTGATTTCCCTTTTAAGGAGTCAACCATCATGAGGGAGAACTCTCGGGGCTACAAGCCTCATATCATTTGAATGGAATAAACCATTTAAGTGGTCTTAGATTACGAAGATCTTTTTAAAAAGAAAGGAAAAGATCCATCACTTTGGGGATCTTCTTCCAGAGCCGAATCACCCAAAGTTTGCACTTTGGGATGAAGCTGATTCCATGATCATGATATGATTATGAAATATTGTTTGAATTCAATGGGTTGTAGATGGTCATTTCTACTACAAAAGAAGTTTGGACGCCATTAAACAAATATACTCAAATATAAAGGATGTTACACTCATCTAAGTGATCAAAATTAAGATCTTAATAACCAAGCAAGATAATCTTCTTGTTATTGAATACTTTAATGTAATAAGTGTTATTAGATTGAACTAGATTACTACCGAGATCTCAAAATAGCATGCTATGATGATGTGATAAATCTCATGCAATTTATAGAAATAGAAAGGGTATTTGAGTTCCATGCAAAATTAAGATATTTTCTGTTATATGACTCGAAGAAGGAAGAAGGTCAATAATTCTTGATACTCTTGTCTCATAAACATTTGTCATGACTTCCACCAAATCCCAAGGTAAGAGACGAGACCTTACACTTTTTCCCCTAAAAATGACAAAACCTTTCTTCTAAAGGCAATTTATGGCATAACCATTGCAAGACGAAATCATACATCAAAGAAAAATATTGGAAACTCCACAAAAAACTCCAATTTTATGGTGGAAACAAAGGATACCAAAAAGGTCAAGTCTATCTTATTGAATCATAAGGGCTTAATTTTGAAAAAATTGTCAAACTAAGAAATTTCCTCAACTCTCTCGAGAAATCATCCGGTTCATATTCTCTAACTTAACATGATGTGACTTCTAACTTCTATTCTTTTAATACCTTAGATAATTTTCCTCAAATTGGATCTTAGATTTAGTAGCCACTGACTCATGAAAAACCTTGCTAAGCATCCAAACTTTGGCCCAATAATAAGCAAATAGAAGTGGCTGATTGTTTTCCCTACATTTACCATCAATAATGCATTATATGTTCCTTATGTTGCTGTAAATCTTTTATCAATGCATGAAATTTCCAAAGACCACAGCTACAATATAACATTTTAGCTAATAATTATGTATTTTAGGACTTCATGACAGGAAAGATGATTGGCCAAGTTAGAGAGAGTGATGTGCTATATCTTCTTGAAGACATAATTCATTTATTGCACTCTTGTTTACACCCGCAATTCTGAAACCGTTTGGGAGCATCATTATCATAGTATCGCTTGTAGAAATAGAAGAAAATCTTAACTGAAATTAAATTTCAGCAAAGTTAAAATAGTAATTGAGAAGAACGATGTGAAAAATTAGGAGAAAATCTTTTTAATTGATGATATATGGTATAAAACGAACAAGATACAATGGATCTTTAGTTGCAGAGAAGATCCGTCTCTCCCAAATCTATAGCCGCTGGCTAGAGCTCAAACCTCTTAGGAAATTCTAATTTCAGCAAACACATATATAACCCTAACCCTAGGAAAATAACCTAGTTAAAGCATAAAAAATAATGCAAATCCCAAAACAACCCCTCTTTTGAATTTTTCCTTATAATCCCCCTTAATTGCCTTTCTAATTACTGTTGGATCCCACCCAAAAGGGGGACAAGAATTTAAGGTGGAACCTGTCCGCCTACTGTAACATGACTGGTATAACAAAACCCCCCTCCCAAAGGCCCAACTTGTCTGCAAGGTGGAAAGATGGCTCCCTCAATTTCCTTGTCATCACAAATGATGAGAACCTGAAGAGTTCAGTCCTTAAATTTGTGCCTCAGTGTATATCTCTCTTCACATCTAAAACAGAGCCTCATTCACCCTTCTCCTGTAACTCCGTTTCTATGAGATTGAAGTTTTTTCCGATCTCCCTCCTACAATTTTCACCTTCGGGGTCTCCCTAAGAGTACCCGGTGTCGGCTTCTTGGATGCCAAAAAGGTGGTGATCATCCTGTACGAATCTCCTGAGTTGCTGCCTCCAGTCCCTCTCTCCAGGTGCCTATGATCCTCCATTAACTGGACTAGCTCCATAGTTTTTCTCAAATAACGTGGACTTATTACTCTAACAGCCACCTGAATTTATGGTTTGAGCCTTTTCATAAAGTTACCCTCCAGTACAGTTTTCGGAAGCCAGTCCAGTCGACTGAATAAGTACTCAAATTGCTCACGGTACTCCACAACTGTCTCTTCTTGTGTTAGGACAAAGAATTGTTCATAGAATTCCCCTCCCTAGGTGGTTCAGAAATGCATTCCAACAAACATTCCTTAAACTCCCTCCAAGTTCGTATGGGTCTCCTTGTAACCCTCCAATGGTACCATGCCAATGCTTTCACCTCCAAGCACATCCAGATAGTCGTTAGTCTCTCCTTCTTTGTCAACCTATTGACGGTGAAGTACCTTTCCACCATGTAAATCCACCCATGCGCATCCTCTCTCTAAAAATAGACATCTTCAGCTTCCTAACCCTCGTATTTCCTCCGTTTCCTCTATTTCCTCTATAATTTCTCATTCTCCAAGGGGGTGGTTCCCCCAAGTGTCCCGATCATCCCTTTTACACATACCCAAAATTTTTATCAAATTCTCATCTTCTCCTTTCAAATTCAACACCCCTTTATATCATTATCAGCACCACTTTGATTTAATCAATCCCTCTCCTTTTAAATTTAACAACCCTTTGATCATAATTAGCCCCTCATCTTTCAAATTTCGTCCATCTCCTCTCAAATTCAGCACCCATTCATTCATGCCCAACCTCCTCACGCCTCTCCCCATGCCCTCTACCTAGCTCCACCCTAGGAATAGGCTCTAAGGGAGGCATTCTCTCTTCTCTCTCCAGAATCTCCACATTTTGATCTTCCCTTTGCCTTATCGGATTAGGGTTTTCCACACTTATTTGGCTGCTGGCAGCTTCCCTCGCCTCTGACGATGTCGTTTTGGATTGACCCTCGAGCAACTTTTTCAATATCTCCACTAGGATGAAAAATTTTCCATCAATCTTTTTCGTGGACGTTTGGAAGTTAACTTTTGAAATATGAAAATTGAGTTTGGAGATATGAAATTTCATATTTTAATTGTTTGATTTCCCCTTTCAACACTTCTACCTTTCTTCCTGCCATAGGTACCCGGATTTAAGTTCCAATAGTAAAAAACAACAACTTTGATGTGAATCTGGCCTCCAAACAACAAAAAACAACAAGTTCGTAGAGGAAACTTATCAGTAATCATATAGGAAGTCTTATATTTCAACCCAGGACAGCACTCTAATACCAATTTGATAGGTAACGCTTGTAGAAATAGAAGAAAACCTTAACTGAAATTTAATTTCAGCAAAGTCCAAACAATTATTGAGAAGAACGTTGTGAAAAATAGGTAGAAAATCTTTTTAATTGATGATATATTGAAGAAAACGAGCAAGATACAATGGATTTTCAATTGGAGAGGAAGATATGACTCTCTCAAATCTCTAGCCATCGACTAGAGACCAAACCTCCTAGGAAATTCTAATTTCAACAGACACATATATAACCTTAACCCTAGGAAAATAATCTGCTTATAACATACATAAATAATGCAAATCTCAAAACATCCCATCTTTTGAATTTTCCGTCCTAACCCCCTTTATTTTCTTTCTAATTACTGCTAGACCCCATCCCAAGGGGGGGGTGAAACCTATCCGCCTCATGTAACAGGACCGATCTAACACATTATAGGCTAGGCTAACCTTGCTTCAAAACTCCTTAATATATGATTTCTTCTCCTTTTATGAGGCAAATATTACAAGTTTTTATTGTGAGATTTGTGAAATTGTAAGACATTATCTTGTATTTTTTTCCTGAAAATGATTCTAGAACCTCCACTCGTTTTATGTGTTTATTCTATTATTTGTGGACCCTCCAAAATCCTCGATATTTCTTGAGCTATTGGATTTGTCACTTTCATTGATGGTTACATTCGGATGATATGAGAAATCTCATAAAACAAAAATTTAATGTCAACATAATCCTTCCCATTTTTGTTGCC